TAGAAAAATATAATGTGCTTACTTTGAACACATATGGTGATGCAATAAAAACCCATGGCGAAATCGTACTAGTAATGTTAAGTATTTTAATGGAAGCCAATCGAAAGTTGTACTCGAAAGAATTAATGTCACTCAATTTATACTTAAATAATGTTTCTGAACATTTAGATTTCTATTCTAAAAATAATGAAAAAATATTTGATACGTCAAATAAAACTTTCAGTATTCTTAAAGGTTACTTGATGATTCATGATTATTTTTTAGAACAGTTTGAGAACATGATATTAAAATATTGTCGTTATGTAACATATGATGAAGTATTTGTTTATTGTCCTGATTATAACAAATCAGGAGAATATACTATCGAAAATTTTCGATATGTTGCAAATAGACTTAAAAACAGATTACTACAACGTGATATTCAACAAAATGACATTGATGATAATATAAAAAATTTAGAACACAGTGAAATATATTTTGTTTTTAATAAAGCTGTTAAAAGGTCTGAATACTGGGGATTTTTGCCAAAAAATGTACTATTATATGATTTTATGATGAATGATTGTAAAATTCCCGAAAAAGATCTAATGATAAGTTCTCAGAACGAACAATATCCCTTATTAATAAACAGGCAGAATGAATCTGTTTTAGACATGATTCGTTTTGCACCACTCACCTATAAATGTCCTGATAAAAGACACATAACCATTTTTGATATATTTAGATACATCAAATATACATTATACAGAAAAGAAGTACAAGTATTTCATACACTCATACTAACAGCAACATTTCGTCCTATTATTTTACTAGTAAGACTGTTTATCAGAACCATTAAGGAATTAATATACGTGTACATTCAAAAAAATGAACAAGAAGTACCTTTAAAATATTATGAAAATATTATTTCTGTCGGTAAAAGAATACTTGAATGTTTTCAAAATTTTGTCGATTTGAATCTTTTTGGTAACGATTCGAAAATATTCTTTTCTTCATTTTTATATAAAACTTCTGACTGCCTTAAACATTTTATTTATAAAAGGACACGCGATACAATGATTTCGTGCTCTAAGTGGGAACAGTTATCAAAATCATTTTTATTTAACAACAAATTGGTCATTAAAAATCCAACTGAGATTTTTACAGAGAATAGTATTGACGAACTCTTTGAAAAATTGGCTGTGAATCTGAAACAATCAGAAGAATTCGTAAAAGAATTAAAAGAACATGATAAAGTTTTTAAATTCACCAAAAAAACTTTTTATGTTAATCACATATTAAATTTTCAATACACGTATATTTTTCATAGAAATATCATAGGTAAATATAATTATTTGTTTTGTTTTATTATATTAAATAATTAGGTTGAACGATTCAGAAAATTTAATTAACCTGACATTTTCGAGATATTTTATGATATTTCTGAAATATGACATTGTTATTTTATAATAATTTTTTTGTATTTTCTTCAAAAATCTAATTTGAAATAATTAAAAGTTTTAAACAATTTGTTTTATATTATTAGATTATTAGAGTAAATATTAATAATCATTTATCAAAATAAATTAAATAATGAAATTAGTACTGATTATACAAATAAATATATATAAACTAAGTATAAATTAATACTTTCTTGACAATTTTATTACTAATAATTCGTGTAGTGAAAATGTTTTTCTTTAAACTACAGTAAAAATCAATTAGTTTTACATATTCTGCACTTAAAAGCATAAGAGTTATATCTTCTATTCAATTTTAAGTGTATCATATTAAAATAAAATTATTATCATAATTCATTTTTAGACAATTTATGTCGAACTAAAGATAGTTACACATCTTTATTCGGTGATGCTGCCACTCAAATCGTACGTGTCAAAGAAAAAAGTAATGCCAACGATAATAAAAATAGAAAAAAACAAATTGTGGTGTATCAAAATCATTCTGAGAAAATTATAGTGAATAGTTATGATGAATGCGATATAAACTATTGTTATAATCCCAACCCTAAATACTTGATTAATTACATATTGTTCACGTAAATTGGATTTATTTTTAATATTTATAAATTATGTTATAAATTATTTAGTGAAAAAACATAGAATATAAATTTTGTTGTATCAGTAAATTTATGTATATTTTGATTTTTATATCTTTTATAACAACTGAAAAGTAATGTAACACATTTCCTGTGTTGAAAAAAACACCAGAATATTTTTTTCTCTTAAATAAGTATAAAATCTCATTTTTATACCATAGCGATACACAGGTGAAACTAATGTCTCGAATTTTTTGCATGAATTCTATGACTCTGATCATTATTCATTTCTTACTTTTTAGACCGGAACTGAAATGTGCATAGTACGCTAAGATTGTTCTAGGGATAGCTAGACTCCCTTTCTTTGATTATAAAGATTTATTTTTCCATTCAAAACAAATATATTTAGTAAAATTATTCACACAGAATTTATGAAATTATTATCAAGATTTTTCTATTTGGGATTTTTTAAATTTTATTAACACATAATTTTTTTCTTAACTTCATCTTTAATGCGAACCTGGAAAGTACAGGTGTAAATAAATAAATAATATCTTGTACAAAGTAATTAAATAATGATAAATAACTTGTGGTTTGTCAATTACTACAATTTTGAGAAAATGCACGTGTAAATTGATCACTTTCAGTTACAGTTACAGTTTGTTACATTTTAAAATTTAAGTTTAATGATAATTTTTCAGAAAAAATGATAAAAATTTTAGTTGAACTATCCAATCTCATAAAAATGTAATGGCTATCAATAGATAGAATATTTTGTAAGGAATACAAAAATAATTTTTTTTGTTTTTTATTTTACGTATGAAAACTTAGTAATAAGTAATGCGCAATTATTAAAAAAATATTTAGAGAGATTGGCTAACTATGTCTCACGTAATATCTTTAAAAATACAAGTATTACAAACAATTTTTTTTAAAATCATTATGGATCTTTGATGAGCTGTTTGTCAAGAAAAATAAAATTTCTCTCATCATCCTTTATACTTAGAGCTTTTATCAACTTCATGTTTTCAAAAAGCAACCTCATATTATTTTTATATAATTTTGTTCGTCATAAAAAAAAAAAAAAAATGTTAACAAAAATTAAATAAAAAATTATGAATTTTAAATAAGATACGCTACTTTAAAATTTACGATATTTTATGAAAAAATTCAGTAGTTTTTCCAACACGGTCATATTATTATTTTATGTAGCGATAAGTGCTACCGGTTTACTGTGTCAATGCACGTAGTCAAAATAGCTAAGGTAAGCTTGGTATGTTTATTTATAAAACTAGTAGTAGCACTTATCGATTTACGACCTATAATGTTACAGTCTGTTATAATTTTTTCTTAATAAACCCTAAACTTTAGAGAGCCATAGAGCGCTTAATATTAAATAAAATGAAAATTTTTTTACAAAATATTTTTTATTAAACTAAATCTAATAGTGTAAAAGAAAATAGAGTTGCCATTTGAAAATCTGAAGTTGACACAAGTTCTAAGTATAAGGGATGATGAGAGAAATTTAAATTTTCTTACGAATCACCTCATCAATGATCCATAATGATTAAAAAAAAATTGTTTATAATACTTGTATTTTTAAAGATATTACGTGACACATAGTTAGCCGATCAATCTGTAAATAAAACTCAAAAATTTGAAGAAACTACAATTGTTTGGTCATTAATGGACTGTATAAGGTATTGTAAAGGAAAACAATAAAATAAAGTTGAAAATAAATAAATAATCAACCAATGTTCACGTAGTTACAATAAATTAATTATTAACCAAAGAAAATTTCATACATGCATTAACCCTGGCCAAGAACTTAAAACTAAGGAGAATCAATTAATGGGGGGATCAGAATACAAACAATTAATTAAAAAAAAAAAACAAAATAATTAAGTAAATATAAGGCTTGCCTTTGCTGTTTGGATACGACTGCGACGGCGGCGACGACGAATTGTTAATGCACACACGTACGATATTTGTAAATGATTTTCAAAGTTAACGGTCGGTATGTTCTTTTCCGGAGGTTTCGGTGATGGTCGAATTCGGTTGACGGTCGGTGTCGATAAACGGTCGGTGTCGGTTGACGGTCGGTATCGGTTGACGGTCGGTATCGGTTGACGGTCGGTGTCGGTTGACGGTCGGTGTCGGTTGACGGTCGGTGTCGATAAACGGTCGGTGTCGGTTGACGGTCGGTATCGGTTGACGGTCGGTGTCGGTGTGTTTAGGTAGGCGGTAGTTGCGAAAAACAAAACAAGATTAATTATTTACAGTGATTCCCAAACAACAATTATTTAGAAAAAATATTAAAGCACGATCAAATAATAGTCCAGGAAGTTAATTATTAAAAATCCAACACAGTGGCATATTGGAGATTATTAAATATTAAAAAAATATATATTAATATTAACTTTAGCCACAATGATACTATGGCACCATAAAATATATTAAAATTTATGATTATGATTATAATTTGATTTGTACATAAGAATTACATTTTTTGTTCAATTCGGCAGCCATTTCCCCATAGATGATATGGTGTCTGGAAAATAATTTTTTTTTTGAATATATTATATTTAACATAAGCCTTAATTTGACATATATTTAAATCTTGGAGTATTTTCGGAACATTTTCAAAAGTTAAGTTAATAAAGTTTTACTTTTTATTCGTACTTTTAAAATTTTTAACCCCCTTGTATAAAGGAAAATGATTTTAAATTTGTATATAGAATGAAACTAAAGTACTTATTAAAAAAAAAATTGGATTGATCTATAAATTTTCAAAAAGTTATAGTATTTTAAAATTGAAAAAATTAAACATATAATCGAAAAGTTTAACACAAAAATTGCATGTTTTTAAAGTACGGCAACCATTTGTACATAGAAGATAAGTTGTCAGGACAAATTTTTTTTTCTAGTACATAACATAAGTATTATTTTATGTTTGAAGCTTGTTCAAATTCTAGAACATTTTAAAAACTTGAGTTGATAAGTTAAATTTTTACATAGAAGTAGCTATGTTGAATCCCCCTGAGGATAGGTAAAAAAGGTCAGACTTTCGAAAAATTTACATCAAATGAAAAGGTTTCAAGAAAACAAAAAACCATTTTGATTTATTTATTTTTTAATAGTGTATGGCAATTTTAAGAAAAATAAAGATAAAAAAATTTCGAAAGTTATCGATTTAAAAAAATTACGGAAATTAAATTTCCTAAATTTGTTGGAGATTTATTTGGGAACAAGGGAAATTTTTTCAATTTTTGAGGGTAATATATTCGATTAGATACGAGTTTTGAATTATGACACATTGTTCTTCAAAATCGGTCCAGTGAGAGCTGAGAAAAATTGGTCACAGACAAAAAAAAATATCATAGTAAAATAAATACCTTCTCAGCTCGAATCGATACCGAATTTGAAAGCTTGTATTTTTAAATAAAATAATTTTGTAATCTCTTACATAATATAATTACTACAATTATAGAATAATTCAGCTCATTAAATATTATATTTAAGTTTTATAAACTAAATTATTTTTTTTACAGTGATATTTTTATGTTTATTAAATTAACTTATATTTTTAATTTACTATATAGCAAATAGTTCTTGATAGATCAAAATTATTATCTACCAAAGTGTTTTCAATTATTAGATAACGGTTAAAATCTTTTAGCCATAAAATAGAATTAATAAATGAAAACCCATAATCGAAGAATAATTTTCCATCAAAATTCTAATTAGAGATGTAGGTTTCATATTATAAGGAATATTAATTTCAACTTAAATACGTTTAAAACCATGGATATTATAATCAAGCTGTTTATGAACATAAAACATAATTTTTAAACTTGCATTTTTTAAATTTTAGATTTTATTTTTGTAGAATATGGTTGTTAAGTATTTATTCAGCTGTTTATACTTGCATAAGTTGATTTATTATTTTGTTTATTTTACTAAAATCATGTTTAAAAATTACTTACATAAAATTTCTGATTTATGTCCCAAGTTTCTATACATGAGTTGAACAGAACGGTAAATTAGTATTACAATCAATTAAAAACATTGAATTTGGATTTACAGTAACATAAGATTTATTTAATTAACAAAATTATTGGTAAAAGTTTGTAAGACAATAACAAAAAGTGATATCTTATCTAATATAAAACCTACAAATATTGCAATAAATAATCAAATCATTTAATTATGTCAATATTTGTGTTTTACATTATAATAGTCTTCTTTGTCTCTCGCCTTAATCCCAATTACTTAGGGTCCCTATAATTACTTATACCCTTATGCTATACTTCCACTTTATACGATCTTCCACAACATCTTTGCTCACTTCAGCTGTCCTCATATTGCATTCAATAATATCCTCTATCTCTGTTTTGGTCTTTCTCTATCTTTTCTTCCTTGAACATTCTTTTCTATAACCGTTCTTACAGCTCTCAATTCCTCTCTCCTCATAACATTACCAAACAATCTAAGTCTATTTTTTGTCATTTTATCCACAATTGACGCTATACCTATACTTCCTCTTATAAATTTGTTCCTTATCTTATCTTCTCTAGTCACACCACTCATCCATCTGAGCATTATCATCTCTGCTACACTTATCCTCTGCTCTACTTTCTTGTCAACCGACCAACACTCTGAACCATACAAAAAAGTTTAGGTAAATTTATAGTTTATGAAATTGTATTACGACTATCAATTTTGAAGCTTTGTCGTGAATAAACTAGGAAAGAGTTTTGAATTTCTTTACTATACTTCTACTATTCAAGGTGGTTCTAACAAACCATAATCAATAAAATCTGTCCAAGTTTCAGGATAGCAAGTGTCTCACTAAAACTTAATAATTTTAGCCTTGATGCGAAGCTGAGAAGGTATTAATTTTACTATGATTTTTTTTTTTTTTGATGTTTGATGTCTTTACATATCATTTAGTATATTTTTTTTATAAATTTAACCCTTTACCAGCCCACAAGGGAGGATTCAAAATGACAACTTTTTCACAAAAAATTAACTTTTTCAACTTAACTTTTAAAAGTGTTCCGGAAATACTGACACTTTTATAT